ATTATTGTAATATGTCCAAAACTCACTTATTTAAAGAAAATAAAACAATATAAGAAGGGGTGTCAGATCTTTATCCTACTGGGGGCATCCAAAGGGGAATTTAAATTTTCCAAAACATAAAGCAATATCTGTTTCTCAGCCAGAGCTTCAGGATTTGTCGCAACAGCAGTGTGATAGGCCATGTCAGATACTGAGGTGCAGCCGGCTCCCAACAGTTGGGTAAAGGGAAAAAACCCTCAGAATCCCACAAAGAGAAAGGGACAGTAAGAATAAGCAAGTAAACCTCTGCTTTATCTCATCCCAGAGCAGAAGATCAGCAAATATAAGCATTTATATGAGGTCCTCAGGTCAACTAGCAGCTGTTCATGGTCCTGACTCTGAATGTAACTGCAAGTAAACCTGAAACTAGGATGGTGTTTGGTTTTTAGTCCTTTGTGGTGGTCCAATAAAAAATGATGTTCGATTCCCTACTCAGAAATATTTCCATGTACAGGAAATACAAATATTAACATAACACATCAGGGCACACATAGGCCGGGTGCTCGAGATCTGGGGGTTCTAATCCTAGTAAGAGACACAGGCAAGGGGAAGATGTTTTGAGTAATCCATCACCATCTTACAGAGCCACTCCACCTATTTGTAAATATAAACTGGAGCAGACAAAATTTGGACCCCAGAACCGATTATCAGGAGACTAAGTTGAAAGATGTCATTTATTAGACCCTGTTCTTCCAGCCAAACCTGAGTGCCTACAAAGCACCAGAGAAAGTTCCAGTCTCAGATCTTTGCTCCGGGAATTGAAATTAGTCATTCTTTTTCCATCCCTTACCCCCAGCACCTGAACTCTCTTCCTACTTTAGGAAAATTCCACACGTAAAGTCTTGGTGGGAGGCAGAGGCCACTTCAATCCATAAAAGAGGAAAATCCACTGTCCCCAATACCCTTGCAGCTGGACACGGCAGGAGGCTCCACCATCAAGTGACCAGATGCCTCAGGACGAGGTGACACAGAGGCTGGAACCATGCAGAATGCATTTGGCCATAACAACAGCAGTTGCCAGGAGCAGCAGTAACATGTGTGCCCAGCAGCAGGGGCAGTGGTTTACACGTGGGACCTGACCTGGGGGGACTGTGGAACAGTGCCTGGCTGTGTGACCTCCAGTCTGTTCTGTGGCCTTCCCCAAAATAGTGTTAGAGACCCCAATATTATAGATAGATGATATAGATAGATATTAGCTTGTCAGAAAAGTCATGACGCATTTTTGGAACGAAAAACATAGAAAAAATATGTCATGACTTTTCCGACAACCCAATAGATAGATAGGTAGGTAGGTAGAGAGATAGATGATAGATAGATAGATAGATAGATAGATAGATAGATAGACTTTATATCTAAATTAGAAAAAATTTGGATTCCATTGTTTGCTCCCAGAAATCAATCTGGGGAATACTTTCAGGAACGAGCATTCAGAGATTTTATTACACTGACCTGTGACCCACTCCTAAATCTTCCACCTGACTCTACCCCATGGTAGAAAGAACGACATGTAACTCACAACATTATATCTCATAATTGACAATATATGTCCTCCCCTTTCTGAGGAAAAAAAACACCTTTAAAAGTGTATTTAAGACCATTCCCCACCCTGAGCTCCATCACTGCCCTTACAGGTTCCCAACCTAGCTGAGCCCCAGGACAGTTGGGCTTCTTACAAACACTCAGGCCTCTCCCAGATCCACTGTCTCAGAGAATCGGACACAAGACCAGGAATCGCTTATGTAACAAGCCCTGCAGGTGAGGCCAATGCACAGCCCTGTGGGAACTCTGGTGATGGTCTTGCTACTAAAAGAGTGATCTGAAGGGCCAGGCAAGTGGCTCAGTTGGTTAAGAGCTCACTTGGGAGCACCAGCTCTGAGCAGCAGGGCCGCGGTTCGGATCCCACATTAAGGGCCAGTGACGCTGCGCCCTCTACAGCTAAGATGATGAACAGCTCAACCTGGAGCTGGGCAGCTGTGAGTTGCAGGCAATGGCGTAGGCTGCAGCAGGGCTGCAGTGGGCTACCATGAGCTACATGAGTGGCTGGCAGCCAGCGTGAGCAGCTGGCAGCCGGCGAGAGCTGCTGGCAGCCGGCGAGAGCTGCTGTGAGCCTCAGCGAGAGGCCAACAAATGACCAGCGATTGATTGCCTCACACGAGAAGAGTGCAATAATCATAGAAACATGGGCCCATGCAGCGATGTCCTCCACAACTAGACTGAAGAACAAAACAGCAATTTGTCTACCTGTCTGTTCCCTTCCCCCAATTCCCCAATAAAATCTTTAAAAAAAAAAAGTGTGATCTGAAAACCAGCAGCAGCACCAACCTCATCTTAAATCCACGATCTCTGCTCTGCTCCAGGCTTTCTAGGTCTTAACAAGATTGTCCAGGTGATTCTTGTGCCCAGGGAACCTTGGGATTCCCTGGTCTACACGCCTTATCCACATGGGACCAGAACTGTGCCGTCTACTTGGGTGTGTGGTCTGATCAGATCCCAGCACTGGGGGGGCCCAGGGTTCAGTCCTGTTCCTTTCTCTTCTACAGCCATCGCTCCCTTGGTGACCTCATTTGTATTCAAGGCTTTAAATATCATTTATATGTGTCACCTCCCAAGTCTGTTTCTCCAGCCCAGACATTTCCCCTAATCTCTAGACTCATCTGCCCAACTGCCAGTGCGATGACCTCATTGTATTTCTAACACGCATCTCAGCTCCAACATCTCTTAATGAATGTCTGTGACGCCCCCACCCCTCAGATCTGCTCCTTCCAGACTCTTCCCCATCTCTGCGGACAGCAACTCCATCTTTCTATTTGTGCCCTCTGAGATTGTGGGGCCCTTGACTCTATGTCCCAGACTGACCCATTAGGAAATGCTGTGATGTCCACCTCAGAACATACCCTGAACCCCACTCCCACTATTTCCCCCGCTCACCCCCAGGGGCAGCAGGTCCAGCCCGGAACCCTGCAGATTCCTCCAGCTTC